GTGTGTTTGTGTGTGAATGTTGTATAATAGCTGCAGTGTGTGGTGTGTGTTTGTGTGAGTGTGTGACGGGGCTTGCACCTGAGTTCCTGGGCCCAGCTTGCTGCCTCTTTCTCCCTGTGTTCTCTGCCTCTGTTGTGTTCTCTGCCTCTGTTGTGTTCTCTGCCTCTGTTGTGTTCTCTCTGTATTTCTGTGTCCGTGTCTCCTTTTCCTTGTTCCCATCTCCTCTCTTTTTCTTCCATCTCTGTCTCTCCCTGTCTCTGTTTCTTCTTATCTCTCTCACCTCATCTCTCTCTTTGTCTCTTGTGTCTCTGTCTCACTGTTCTCGCCTCTGTCCCTCCCTGTCCCTGTCTCTTATCTCTCTCCATCCCTATCTCTCTGTCTTTGTTTGTCTTTGTCTCTCCTTTCCTGTCTCTGTGTCTCTTGTCTCTCCCCATCCCTGTCTCTCTCTGCCTATGTCTCTGCATCTCTTGTCTCTCCCCATCCCTGTCTCTGTCTGTGTCTCTTATCTCTCCCCATCCCTGTCTCTCTCTGTCTATGTCTCTATGTCTCTTGTCTCTCCCCATCCCTGTCTCTCTCTGTCTGTGTCTCTTATCTCTCCCCATCCCTGTATCTGTCTATGTCTCTGTGTCTCTCTGGGTCCCTGGTCCAATGTCCCCTTCCCAGAACCCCTGTTTCCCTGGTGTGGGGTGCAGGTCTTGCTGTGGCCCTGTGGGCTGTGCCTGTGCTGGACACAGCCTGCTGGGGCAGCCGCTCAAGCCCCAGGGCTGGGCACTGCATCCTGGCTCTGGCCAAGGGCCCTGGGGAGAGCTGAGGGAGGTGCATGCAGGGTGTGGGGCCCACCATGGTCACTGCCAGACGCTCAGTGCCAGTGCCTCCCTTGGTCTGCTGTGTGGTGGGCACGGCCCTCATGAAGGCTGCCCATGGAGGACCCCTGCCTCCTGGAGAGCCTGGACAGGTGGACAATGACCTGTGCAGACCCTGGAAGAACCCAGGCTGGCCCTGGCTGGTCCCAGATGACCCTGGATGGCCCTGGCTGACCCTGGCTGACCCCAGATGACCCTGGCTGACCCCAGATGGCCCTGGCTGACCCTGGCAGAAACCAGGCTGACCCTGGCTGACCCTGGCTGATCCTGTCTGACCCTGGCTGGCCCTGGCTGACCCTGGCTGACCCTGGATGACCTCAGACCATAGTTGACCCTGGCTGACCTCTGCCAACCTTGGACCTGGAAAGCCCTGGCTGACCCTGGGTGGCTTGGGGCTGGGCCTCCCTGTGGCTGCAGCCCTTTGCTCAGGCCCCAGGCGCACCTGGCCAGGTCTCGGTTTTGGGGCATGTTTCTCAGAACAGCAGTTCTCTGGCTGGTACACCTGCCTGGGCTGTGTTCACAATGACTCAGCCGCCCCACAGGGCTATTTTGGGTATTTCTGCAGGTGATGGGGTACAAGAGGCTTCAGGAGAAAGAGAAAAGCAAGAGAATACAAACAGCATGTCCTCCCCCCACCTTCCTGTACCCACTCCTGTACTGTACTCCCTCCCCAGTGGTAAATCCAGACCTGGGGACCCCTTAGGGGCTGGGGGTATAGATCATGGGGCCTGGGCTGGTCCTCTCCCCACCAAGTCCTCCTGGGGCCTACACACCCCTCTGAGCCTAGAAAAAATGGAGCAAGTCGTTGGGGTCATTTCTTCATCTACCACCGAGTACACGCATTGAGAGGGTCTCGGCTTCCCTGGAGACCTCCCTCCACTGCTGCAGGTCACTCACTAATGAGGGCGAACGTTCAGAAATCAGACAGGACTCAGTGTCTAGACAGACTGATACAGGCTCAGAAAAGGAGTAAGACTTCAAAATGAATATGTATAAGAAAAGGATCAGGAATCAGTGATCAGGGACAGGGATTCATCTGGTCTAGGGCTCAGTGGTCAGGAACAGGGCCCAGTGATCAGGACCAGGGCTCAGTAATCAGGACTAGGGCCCAGTGATCAGGACCAGGACCCAGTGATCAGGACCAGGGCTCAGTGATCAGGAACAGTGCTCAGTGATCAGGACCAGGGCCCAGTGATCTGGTCCAGGGCTCAGTGATTTGGTCCAGGGCTCAGTGATCAGGAACAGGGGTCAGTGACTGGGTCCAGGGCTCAGTGATCAGGATGAGGGCTCAGTGATCAGGACCAGGGCTCAGTGATCAGGAACAGTGCTCAGTGATCAGGACCAGGACCCAGTGATCTGGTCCAGGGCTCAGTGATTTGGTCCAGGACTCAGTGATCAGGACCAGGGCTCAGTGATCAGGACCAGGACTCAGTGATCAGGAAAAGGGGTTAGTGATCAGGAACAGGACTCAGTGATCAGGACCAGGGCTCAGTGATCAGGACCAGGGCCCAGTGATCAGGACCAGGGCCCAGTGATCAGGAACAGGGCTCAGTGATCAGGAACAGGGCCCAGTGATCAGGACCAGGGCCCAGTGATCAGGAACAGGGCTCAGTGATCAGGACCAGTGCTCAGTGATCGGGTCTGGGGCTCAGTGATCAGGACCAGGGCCCAGTGATCAGGAACAGGGCTCAGTGATCAGGACCAGTGCTCAGTGATCGGGTCTGGGGCTCAGTGATCGGGTCTGGGGCTCAGTGATCAGGTCCAGGGCTCAGTGATTGGGTCCGGGGCTCAGTGATCTGGAACAGGGCCCAGTGATCGGGTCCGGGGCTCAGTGATCGGGAATAGGACCCAGTGATTGGGTCTGGGGTTCAGTGATCAGAACCAGGGCTCAGTGATCTGGAACAGGGCCCAGTGATTGGGTCTGGGGCTCAGTGATCAGAACCAGGACTCAGTGATCAGGAACAGGGCCCAGTGATCGGGTCTGGGGCTCCACGATTGGAAACAGTGGTCAGTTATCAGGACCAGGGGCCAGTGATCTGTCCAGGGCTCAGTGATTAGAAACAGAGGTCAGTGGTCAGGATCAGAGCTTGGTTACCAGAAATAGGGCCCAACAATGAGGATCAGGGTTCAGTGATAAATACCAGGGTTCAGTGATCAAAAGTAGGACTGAGTGATTAGAATCAGGGCCCAGTGATCAGGACCAGGACTGGATGATCAGCACCAGGACTCAGAAGTCAAGAGCAGAGCCCATCGATCAGGACCAGGATTCAGGGACCAGAACCAGAGACCATTGGTCAGAACCAGAGCCCAGTGATTGGGAACAAGACCCAGTGATGAGGGCCAGGGCTTAGTGGTCAGGACCAAGATTCAGGGATAAGAACAGGACCCAGTGATCAGGACCAGGGCACAGTGATCAGGGCCAGAGCTCAAAAATCAGGACCAGTACCCAGTGATCAGGACCAGGGCTCAGTGATCATAACTAGGGCTCAGTGATAAGACCAGGACTGAGTGACCAGGACCAGGGCCCAGTGATCTGGTCCAGGGCCCAGTGATTAGGACCAGGGCTCAGTGATGAGGGCCAGAGCTCAATGATCAGGACCAGGACCCAGTGATCAGGACCAGGGCTCAGTGATTGACTATTGACTAGGACCAGAGCTCAGTTATTGAGTGTTGACTGGGACAAGGGCTCAGTGGTGAGGACCAGAGCATAGTTAGCAGGACCAGGGCCCAGTGATCAGGGCCAGGGCTCATTGATCCAGAACATTGCCCAGTGATCAGGATCAAGACTCAGCAATCCAGCCGGGACTGAGTTATTAGGACCAGAGCCTAGTGATCCAGACTAGGGCTCAGTGATCATGACCAGGGCCCAGTGATCAGGACCAGAATTGAGTGATCAAGTCCAGGACTCAGGGATCAGGCCCAAGACTGAGTGATCAGGACCAAGACTCAGTAATCAGGACCAGGGCTCAGGGGTAAGGACCAGAGCACAGTTAGCATGACCAGGGCCCAGTGATCAGAAACAAGGCCCTTTGATCAGGGCCAGGGTTCATTGATCAGGAGCAGGGTTCAGTGATTAGGATCAGGGCTCAGTAATCAGGACCAGGGCCCAGTGACCAGGATCAGGGTCTAATAATCAGGACCAGGGCTGAGTGATCAGGTCTAGGGCTGAGTGATGAGGACCAAGATGGAGTGATCAGGACCAGGGCTGTGTGATCTGGACCAGGGCTGAGTGACCAGGACCAGGGCTGAGTGATCAGGACCAGGGCTGAGTCACCAGGAACAGGGCTGAGTGATCAGGACCAGGGCTGAGTGACCAGGACCAGGGCTGTGTGATCTGGACCAGGGCTGAGTGACCAGGACCAGGGCTGAGTGATCAGGACCAGGGCTGAGTGATCAGGTTCAGGGTCAAAAACAGGAGTAGGACTCAGTGATCAGGACTAAGGCTCAGTGATCAAGGCTAGAATTGAGTGATCAGGAACAGGGCCCAAGTAGTAGGACCAGAGCTCAGTGATCGGTAAAACGGCCCACTGGTCAGGACCAGGGCCCTGTGATCAGGATGAGGACCCAGTGAGGAGGACTAGGGCTGTCTAGGTTATGGGGAACAGGGATCCCACATAGTTCTTGGGAGCAGGCTTCTTTGCCATGGTCTCTGGTGAATCCAGCATTCATCCTTGGGCCTCAGCCTCATGCAAGATCAGGTTGTTTCTTGATTTTGGGACTAGGGGTACCCTCTGTCCATGCCTACCATGACCACCATGACACCCAGGGGGACTTTGAAGCAGGCGTTCTCCGGTCTAAAGCCACCACCCTTTCCCTGACCCCCATCTCCTCATTCAGAGTCTGTGAACATTTTCCTTGGGACCACTTTATTGCACCTGGAAGGGATGTGAGTAAGGGCGGGTAGGTGATTTCTGAAAGGGCTGAGTTCTGGCAAGCATAGCTGGCTTCTCCAAGAGGTTCCTCCACACTTCTTCCCTGCAAAGACAGAGGGGTCACAGCCTGAAGGAGCAGCACCCTTGCCAATGCCCTCTGTCCTAGCCCTGGCCTGGCTCATGGGAGCCTGGACGGAATCCTGGTTACTGTACTGGAGGGAAGCTCAGCCCTGACCCTGGGCCTGCCTGTGTGGTCAGTGTCTGTGAAGGCCCCCCCAGGAGAGCACGTGCCCCCACAGTGGGAGCAGGTGGTGCTCTCCTCACAGCCAAGCACTGCAGCCCACCCCATCCACTGTGGGCTCATCCCTCTCCTGGGCTCCTACCTGTGCCTTGCTGGCTCCTGCTCAGTACTGGGGGCCCTCCCTGTTGCCAGATGGACCCCGGACGCTGGTCACGGTCAGTGCTGTGCTATAGAACAGGCTCAGCAGGAAGAGGGTGAGGAAGGTGATGGTGGTGGGCCACAGGTTGGCACCAGGGGTCTCCTCCTCCAGGGTCTCCTGCGGCAAGTCCAGCACCACATAGGGAGGCAGCATCTGCCAATCTGTAACACAGCAAGAGCCTTCCAGGCCCAGACTCATGTGAATAGTGGGTATGCTTCCTTGGGGTCTGGGGACAGTGGGGTCTGGGTCCCCATCTAAGGCCTGAGACTCCCCCAGGGAGGATGAGGAGGCAGGGTCCCAGGTGAGGGGCTGGGACTTTCTGTCTTTGAGGTTCTTAGGGCACTTCAGGGAGAGACTCAG